CACATAAATGCGCACCCGAGTTTAAGAATGTAATTTAATTAAGTCGCGCCTAAAGAGTCTAACGCGTTTATTGTCTTTGGGGAAGGCAATGAAATTCACTAAACAGTCCATCCCAAATTCTAAGTATTTTATTGTGACCAGTTATTGAGGGCCCCGCAATTTGCATTGTTTTATTTGGTGAGGCTCGTCTCATTTTATGAAAGGATAAACCTACAATGACTACATTTTTCTATTATGTCTCTATAAAATGAAAGAGAAAGGTCTTAATTTATTTACATGCTTGAGTTGTTATAGTTGGGTTTCGAATATGATTCATAAAACCTGAAAATGATGCAAGCAGGGCAGTCCGTTGCCAATGCAGGCCCAGGCCCAACGTGTATGACATAAAACTAGACCTGGGCCGTCTTATTCATATGTTACTACCTAGTTACATTATACTAGGCATGTTCTCAGTTTGTCAAATTAAAAAAAAATACTTAACAATCTAATTTTAATCCTAAACCATTTACATGCTGAAATTAACCAATATTATTTAACTAAACAATATTCCTACAAGTTCGAAATGGCCTATTCGTTTGATTTTTAACTAGACGGAGTTGCTACACCATTCATTTATTTTTAGGCAATATATATAGATAGTTCATCCGTTAAGCTATCGTCAGATGTTCCACTATATATATTAAATAGCTACATGATTCTGATTTTTGTAAGCTAAATAATTTATATATACAAATAAAATTCAGAATATAATTAAAATAAATTTAGAACTTCAACTCTTCATTTTTTCGTATTCATGCTTCCTGTTTCAGTTTACAATAATCAGCGTGTCAGTTGTGTACCTGATATTGGAAGCAAAAGAAAAGGGAGATCAGCAGAAATTCAGTAGCATACAACAACAGCAACCCCAGCAACCAGTAACAACCAGCAACGAGAAACTTAGTGACAGATTTTAAAATCAAGACAAAAATCCAGACACAACAACAACAATCAACGGACAGAAGCAAAGGGAATCTTTTCAGATTTTGAAAGACTAGTTAGTGTTTAACCCTTCATTTCTGAATCCGTATATCAGAATATTTGGATTGTATATCAGGTGTATACTCTTCTTCTTTTGAATTTCCAGAATGTTTTTCTTTTTATTTTCTAAAGTCTTAGTATTTTTCGGAATTTCCTCTCTCTTAAAATTTTCTTATGTATTCTGTCTTCTTCCTAAATCTGATTCAAGTCTCTCTATTTATTTCCCATCCCAAACACTTTAATCAATTAATAAAACCACTACTTTCTCCTACCAAACCCACTATCTTCCCACTCATCCCCCATTATATTAAACAAATATATCAATCCAACTCATTATATCTTGTCCCCCATGCCTACCATAAACAATTACCATATTCCCCTCCACTACATTATGTCTTGTCCCCCATTATATTAAACAATTATATCACCCACACCCCATTACATCTTGTCCCCCATGCTTAACATAAAGAATTATTCAAAATGTTCAATTACCAAACTACCCCTCCGACCTTATTGCAATTACCATTTTACCCCCCGAATGTACTGCAATTTACCAAACTACCCCCATCAGCTCTAAACAATTCAATTAATCAAACTCAACCAAAATATAGCCAATAAGACCAATTTCTTAAACAAACTCAACAACAAACCATATGAACACAGATGAATCATTCAACTTCAAATTAATGGAAATAAATTAACCATATTGGGAACCAATCCTGGTTAACTTAGACCAAAAATGGATGAGCAAAGAAACAACAATATTAACAACACAATACATGATTCAAACTAAATCAACAAATCAAAAACCAAAACATAAACTCACATTAAATCACTGGATGAACTTCAAACAAAGAATAAACATGCATTAAATCCGTATTAAATAACAAACATGACGGATCCAAATGATTAAACCAACATATTTCCCTATTACAACTAAATTCTTTTAGAAAAATAAAAACAAAAACCGAAGAAGAAACAATTATGAAATTAAACTTGAATCTAACAACATTAACAATTTCTGAAAAATACTTAAAACACATGAAACAAATTGAAGAAATAATTAATTAAATTTCAACTTGAATCTAACAAACATTAAACTAACAATTCCTTTTTACAAAAATAAATAAAATTAACATGAAATAAACATGAAAAACAATTAATTAAATTTCCATTTGAATCTGAAAATTAAATCAACAAAACACATGAACAAACTAAAAAAATTAATTCAATCGATAAACATGAACAAAACAAGAATCGAACATTTATCGATTTTAGATCCGAGAATATCAAAACAAAAATACGGGCAAAATAAAACTCAAACCTACTAACCGGATCGAAGCGACGACGAAGAAGAACGGACATAGAAAACTCGAATCAAGACTCCCAACCTCCCAACGGATCCCAAATTCAAAGAAAACCCACCTTCTCTTTTAGACTTGACGAACTTCAACTGGACCTCACCAAACGACGAACAACAACGGACTCAAACAAACCAATCGAAACCTTGACAGAACTTCGCCGGCTTTTCCTCCGTGTGCGTGCGATGGGGAGCAGCAGCTATGGTGAGCAGCAGCAACACTTGGACATGAAGAACGCAGCGGGCAGCAGCGATTTGGAAGCTGGAAGAAGCTGCCATGGCAGCAACGACAACGAAGAAGAAGCAGTGGGCAGCAGTGCGCGTCGACGGGAAGAAGACGCAGTGGGCAGCAGCGACGCGAAGGAGAAGAAGAAGCCACGGACAGTAGAAACGAAGAGACAATAACAGTAGTTGGTCGTAGAAGAAGAAGAAGCGGGCAGCAGCTCGACGGAATCTCGTGCTCATTTTGAAGAGCTTGAAAACGCAGCCATGGCGGGGTTGTTTGGAGAAGGTGAAGACGAAAGGAGAGGGCAACCATGGTTGGCTGAGGTTTGGAGATGGTGAAGTCTTGGAGAAAAAGAAGAGAGGGTGGTCATGTTGGCTTTCTTGAAGCTTGAGGAAGAAGAAGGAAAGAGAGGAGGGGGGCGGATGGGTAGTGTAGGTTTAGGGTTTTGTTTTCTTCTTTTTTTTGTTTTGTTTGTTTTTTGTCAAATGTAAGATATGGGGTGTTGGGTATTTGGGTTATGGACCGGGTCGACCCGTGTGGAGATGGACCAGGTCATAGGGAAGGTTGGGCAATTATTTGGGCTTGTGGTTTGAAATTGAAGAAGAGGCCTAATTCCGATTTTCTTTATATTTTTGCTCTCTTTTCTTCTTTTATTTTTCTAAAACTAAATTATAAAAATACTTAAATTATTATTAAGAACTAAATTAAGTTATAAAAGCGCAAATTAACTCCCAATAACAATTAACGCACAATTAAGTAATAATTAAGCATAAAATTGTATATTTGGACATTAAATGCTAAAAATGCAAAAGATACCTATTTTTTGTAATTTTTAATTTTTGTAAAACAAACTTAATTACTAACAATTGTATAATTAAATCCTACATGCAAAATGCGACATATTTTTGTATTTTTAATAATTTAACAAATAAACATGCACAGACAAATATACAAATGATTACACAAAAATACCACAAAAATTCAAAAAAGTTGCACACCAAGGAAAAATTATTTTATTTTGAATTTTTTGGGAGTAATTCTTTCATAGGGCAAAAATCACGTGCTTACACACATAAGTAAGTCATCTGCAAAGCAGATGTGTATGACTTGCAATTTGGCACATTTAGGATGGAAGTTAAAGTCTAGATTCTGAGTCAGTGTCTTCAGAGATCTGTTTAGGTACTTCATTGCTAATACAAACAAGTATGGGGACATTGAGTCCCCTGCCTTAGCCCTTTTCTTGCTTCAAATTATCAGTTAGTCCACCATTCAGTAGTAAAGTATAGCTAACTATAGATACACAATCTATGATTAATGCTACCATCTTGTATGGTATCCCAAACTCAAGTAGTACTGCTTTAAAAAACTCCATTCAATCGAATCATATGCTTTCCTGATGTCTACTTTGATCACGCATCTAGGAGAGACTGCTTTTTGAGTGTACCCTTTAATCAATTCATGAGCCATTATAACATTGTCAAGTATATTTCTCTCTTCTGTGAAAGCAAACTGAGAAGGTCCAACCAATAAATCCATAACTAGTTTAAGCCTATTTGTCAGTATCTTAGCAATAATCTTGTATATTGTTGAACAACAAGCAATAAGCCTAAACTCCTTCACATAGCTAGGATTTTTCACCTTTGGAATCAATGTAACAGTTGTGCAGTTAATTTCTTTCAATAGTCTGCCAGTTTGAAAGAATTGTTGTACTGCTTCTACGACTTCCTTTCCAATGATTGGCCAATATTCTTTAAAGAATTCAGCAGGATATCCATCCATACCTGGTGCCTTGTCATTAGGCAGATTCTTCACAATTTGACATATCTCCTCAGTTGTTACTGGTTGTAACAGTTGTTGCTGTTGATTCAGTGTTAGACAAGGGCCATTTCTTGCTAAATTGACATCAATTCCTGGTAATTCATCTGCTGTTGTCCCCAATAGTTGCTGAAAGAACTGAATGAATTCTTTCTGAATGTGTTTTGGCTCTATGATCTTCATCTGTTGTTCATTATAGATGCAACTCACCTTATTTTTTGCTTGTCTAGCCCTCATATAAGCATGAAAATATTTGGTGTTGCAATCCCCTAGTTGGATCCAATTTGCTCCTGAATTGCTTCCCATTTCTCTATGCTTTCTAAGGTCTTTCTTTCTTCTTCTATCAGTAGTTTGTTGAAGTAGTCATTATCACTACAAGAAAAAGGCTTTTTAGGGACCAACATTTAGCGACGAGGTATGAATTTGGTCCCTAGAAGTACACTAGTAAGGACGAGAAATTCACTAGTCCTTAAATCTCTATTTTTTCATTGAATTATTAAAGAGAAATAAAATTAGTCCTGATATATGGTCCTTATTTAGGCTTATTTTCCGCACGAGAAAGTGGCGCCACACCAAATTGGAATAAAACATAAAAAATAATTTACTCTAACTTTTAAGAAAACCTAATCTGCTGATTTCTCTCAAGGCTTATCTCCCTCACTCCTCAAAAAAGTATAAACCCTAAATCTCCTAAAACTCCATAAGCGAAGGTACATGTATTGAAACTAAATCAATATTTTTCTTCTATCTCTCTTAAGATAGGTCATCTAAGCTCATTTTTTGCAGATTTGGGGAGAATATCAAACTAAAAATTTACTACTTATCTATCACAAGTAAGCACAATTTCTTTCTCTATATATCTTGAGTTAACCTTTGTTTAATATTTCTCAATAACCCATTTTGCAGGTTTGTGAAATCTTGATTTTTTTTTTTTTTTGGTAGTAATTGGTTTGCTACTACTCAATATTTTTTTTTACAATCAGTTATTTTTCAGATTATATTTTCTTGGGTGTCTCTTTTTGAATTTTTATAGAAGCCTATGCTTTGTTTGGTATTTGTTCTTCAAATTTGTTCTTCCTCTACTATGGTTCTCTGTTTTTAGATATTGTTTCTGTGTAACTATAACATTATTTGATATTCTGCAATAATAGCAATTATATGCGGATCCTCATGGCTTCTATATACAATGAAGCAGCTATGGAAAATATTGATCATTGGTCAGCTTGCACGTCTTTCATTACTTGTCGGCATTTGGTATTGTAAAGATTTAACTTTTATACAGGGAGTGCAAATAATTATTGCAGTGTAATTTAACATGTTCCGCCCATGTGGGTGCAACAACCATTATCTTTGGTTTAAAGTATGGGTATTGTATAGTAAATTAATGATAATCACAACATAGAACAATGAGCACCCACGAAACTTGTTTGAGGCATAGTTTTCCGATTGAAAAAGTTTTTTTTGTCGATTCTTTCGTGTTTCCTTTTTCATTATTTTCTTTACATTCCTTGTACCATTTCTCTCTTATTTTTTCCTTTGTTAATTTATTTTCTTTCTTTCTTTTGATCGGTTTATTACTGAAAAATGAAGTGTTCACCGTTCAAAAATAGCATCTAATTTCTGTTGTAATGATAACCTTAGTACATTTTCTCGTTAAATTTTAACCTTAACATACACCTATAAATATATATGGGTCAATCTAAGTTAAAGGCAATGGAGCACTCATTACTTTAAAAACTTGGATCCGCCATTGACTAAGCAGCAGTGTAGTAGCAATTCTAGAACCCATTAAATCACCTCCAAGAATTGCAACCTTTTTTATGCGTCGTGGTACTAATCCTAAGTAAGTCACCCCAGGTACCTGTTTGTGTGAGAAAAAAGAGTTCGCAGAATCAAGAGGTCAGATTCATTGTTTAATGTTATAAGTATCAAATTATGTAGTAATCAATAATCATAGCCTAACATATTCGACCAACAACACAACTGTTGCACATATCATATACTATAGGCTATGCCACTGAAAAGTCTAGTAAGCGAAAACATAGCTTCAATTAGGTTTGTTATTGCAGTCATACAACGTTATCTAGTGTTGTATAAGCTTAGCATTATCAAACATTGGGTCCATTACAACATTACTCAGATTAGAAGTTTCTCCTCAGATCTATACTTTGCAGGGACATTCTAACTCTCAAGGATTTGTGCAATTGTTTATTTTTTATATAAGAAATCATATCTTTACTTCATTTTGTTTAGATTGTCTATGGGTGAATTTTCATTGGAGCCCTTTTGCTGTAGCATTTAAATTATTCTTGGTTCCTTTTGATTTTTCAGTGCTCTTATCTTAATTCAGGAAACTTTCTTCTTTATGGTAAGCAGAGGAGAAGAAAATATGTGTATTTAGATATTAGTATTGCATCTCATTGCAATTCTTAGTCGTGTTATGGGATATCTTTTGCATACCACAATTACTTAAATTTTGTCATAATGATAAAAATAACTGAGAATTTGTGTTCTGTATTTGAGGTGATTAGAATAGAATTATGGTATCTATTTTTTTAGACAGAGTAATGTGCATACCATGTTACTTCTGTACAACAGCTATGGTCTTAATTTCTTAGTGTATTTGTACTAGGCAATGAGTCACAGAAATGGTAATCAAGTCCTTTTGTTATATTTCTAGTCGAGTCATGATAATATTGCTTATATGATACAAAATTTAGAATTCGGGCTTCTTCCTCCTTACTCAGTTCGTTTTTCCTAAAAGGTTATGTGCATCTTAGAGTACTTTCATTATCCTTTATATTTTTTCTAATATGATTCTTATGTAATATCTAAGCTTATGCCACCTAGTAAGCAGTGGATGCAAGTTGTCGATAGACTTGATGAAGCTTACTTAAATGGGGTGCAAACTTTTTTGGATTATGCTTTTAGAAGAACAGGAGAAATGTGTGAAATACCATGTCCATGTGTAAAATGGTGTAACACAACTTTAGGAACACGTGAGATTGTAGCTGCACATTTGAAAGTATATGGAATAATTCAAAATTATACTTTTTGGTATCATCATAGAGAAGTTTTAGGTGAGAATGACCATTGATGAACATACCAAGTTAGTAACAACTTACTCATTTCAATTATTTTTTAGTTAATAAATATTTGAATACAATATTGCTGCAATTAGTAAAACTCTGTTGCAACTAGTGTGTTACTTGGCTTTTGCAACTAATACTGAGATTACTGCAACTAGTCTCAACTATACTGTTACAACTTGTAAGACTACTCTCAACGGGTGAACATCTTATAATTAGACTGCTGCAACTAGTATAAAATACTTAAAGTGTTAGTAAGTTTCATGCCGTTATAATAGCTAAAGAACAGCTTTTTAAAGCTGAAAAATCTCCCAGTAATATTCCATTTAACTAGTTGATCAATGAGTATGGTATTGTTACTTATATGGTATTGCATTGAAAAGTGGAGTGGAGAATAATAGAGGAAATGCTGATGGTCTATCTACTGGTTTTGTTTCTTACTAACAACGAGTATGGTTTTATTTCTTATTAACCTCTCCTCTGAATTTCAGTTTGATCCTTCTAAGTCAAACGTAAAACTTTAGTTGTTCTGTATTGCATTAATATTGGATGTATGAATGTGTTTCATGGGGGCATATAAGAGTATATTCTCCCTGGTTAGCAAATGTGTTTCACGGAAAAATATGTTAGAGGAAAACTTATAATATATCTTCTGACAAAATATGTAACATGTTATAAGTTATATATTTGTATACCATAAATGATGTTCATCCACTTTTCTCTATTTTGCTTTGAGACTGGTAAAAAAGAGTAAGGGGGAATAAATATTCGGTCTCATACTAAAGGACATGACTACATTCAGTATAGAAAATTGAATGTGCTCGTTTTTTGTACTAATATCCGAGTATGCAGTTGAAAAACTCTTCTTTTCCTATGTATGATTTATGGGTTTTTTTTCTTGCATGTGTATGCTGTGAGCACGTGATTTTTGCCTCATACGAATTACTCCAAAATAATTCCCAAAATTAGGTTTTGGTCTTGATTATTTGTTATTTTTAGGAATTATTGCGTAATTTTTCTGATTGTTTGCATATATTTGTGGGCATGTTTAATTTTATTAATGCATTAAAAATACAAAAATATAGCATTGGCATTTAAGATTTGATTTTACATTTTTTGGAATTAATTAATAATTAGGATATTAGAAAACTTTGAAATGGTACCTCGTTTAATCACTTAGGCAGAATAACTGGGATTAGTTCAATAATTTGGTTGAATGTGTATAATAATCCACTGATTAGTATAATTTTATACAAGTGGTTACTAATTGAGAAGCTCCTAATAGTGGTAGGGTAGTATTTGCATTATTAAATTAACTAAAAGCACTAATTGAGTGGACAATTAAGTGGATGATTAAAGAAATGAAAAGTTGAATTGGTAGTGGAAAATGCACTAATTGAATGTCCATTTAAAGGAGCTGAAAATCAGATTCAAGGGGGCGGAGAGAGCGGTATACACTTGATATACACTCTGGATACCCTGGATATACAGGGGCAGAATTCATTTTGGAGAGAGTAAAAAAGATAGAACCAAATTTTCTGAAATATTGAGAGCGGAAGAACACCAGAGAGAGTTCAAAGCTAGAAATAGAAAACAAAGAGAGATTTTCGGACTATTTTTCTTCTCCATTTTTACTGGTTTTCTCCGTGTTGCTGGGATTTCTGGATTGAGGTGTTGAAGCTACTGTGTTGGGCTTTCTGCTGCTGTATTTTGCTGTTTGATGCTGCTGATTGCTTACCCCATTTTTCTGTTTTACATACCAGGTACATGTCCTAAAACTCGATATATGAAAATATCCAGTTGAAAATGAATGAAGTGGAGGCCTATTGTTATTGAAGTGGAGGCCTATTGTTGATTTACTGCTTTCATTATAATGTAATAACCGTACTGATGGACTGTTAATTATAAGTTTGTGCATTTGAACCGTTAAGTGTGTGTTAGATATTTAGAAATGCATATGAGTTTAGTTGAGTATTCGTTGTAATAATTCCATGCTGGACTAACAGAATAGTTTCTATTAGTTTAGTTAATTTCCGGTTTTCCTAGATCT